GGAGGAAAAAGGCAGCTGAGCACGTCTTGGATGGGAAAGTGAGGTCAAAGATGCGCAACCCTGGTGAGGTCCAGAACGGTCTCCAGAAAACGGTCGGCTACAAAAAACAAGTTTGAGAGGGTCCTGTGGCTGGTGACGTAGCGGGTGCGAGGAGGGAAGCGATCCTATTGGGTTGAGCCTCATACCCCTGCCTCCGTGGCTCGGATCAGGCGCTTGTGCGATGGCGCTAGATAAGGGATTCCGCCAATGGGCGCTGTGGCTCAGGCGGAGAGGACAGGGTATGGATGTGGCTTGAGGTAGGGATGATGTCATACCAGACTGTGTTTGGTGGGCGTTGAGGTTGCGTGTAAGTCTATCCATGCCAAAACGGTGCTTGTCGAGGGCCTTCCGTCGGAGTGACGGCGCGGGAGGGATTTGCGGGCTTACGAAGGATGTGCTGGGATCCGACGTCAGTTTTGCTGTCAGAGGGCGCTTGGGAGGTTATCTTTTGCCTGTACGGTTGCTGGGTCGAGGTCTGGATTGTGATGGAACGGAGGATCACTGAGGGGAAATGACATCCTCTGTCTCGAGGGACGGTTATCACGGTCTTGGGGGCTCGTGTTGGATGATAGTGTTGTCTTGGTCGTGGCCTGGGCGACTTTCTACTGTGTTTCTGGGGGTTCCTGCCACTTCCATAGTACACCACAAATTGGCCATGCTTCTAGACTGCTGCTAGTGACCGCATATTTTTCTTGTATTATGCCGACTAGCTTTCCTGTGGCTATACTCTATTATGCCGTCGTCGTCGTCGTCGTCGTCGTCGTCGTCGTCGTCGTTGTTGTTGCTTCTATCGGTGTCGTCGTCATTATCGCTACTGTCGTCTCCAATAGGAGTATTGAGTACACAGGAAATATAGCCGCGCAGACATAGGAAATTTAGGCGGCCTCTTAAGAAAAGGTCAGGCCGTACAAGTCACGATGGGGGCGATGTAGTGAGGCCTGACCGCTGCCCTCAGCTTCATGCCGAAAGCCGCACTCATCAGTACGGCGGCGAAGGCCCACTGGGGTTTGTGATGGCATGTTGATCGTAGACTGAGAGATCCCGAGGAAGTCACGTTTCAGCAAACATCGATGACCGCCGTGCTCTTCATTATGTATCCAAATTGAATCTTGATACTGGCTGGAAACTTCAATAGCAGGTATCAAGATTGTCTGGGCCCTGGACGAAAACTTGTCGACGAGCCCTGATGTGCAGTTCGCGGCCGTGAGCCAGCTACGAAGTGCTATTCGACACATTCCCTTCACGAAGATGAATTCTGATCGTCTCGAGGTCTTCAGTCGAAAATCCGAGTGTCTTGGTTACATAACCCTCCCAACCGCCGTACGTCTCCTCCACCCCGGCGACGAAAGCGTCCCAGCAGGATGGCCGCAAGCTGCACATGTTGTAAAAGCCCGGGTGTTCGTCATCGGCAGTGGTACCTGTGCCAACGCGGGCGTAGCGGAGGAGCCTCTCGCGAGCGGGCTCGGTGCGGATGCGTGAGAGCAAGTAATCGAAACGAACATCATCGGGAGAAGTGCCAGCAAGAGACTGCAAGATGCCGGCCAACACGCCTGTACGGTCTCGTCCCGCTGAACTGGTGTCAGTCTACAGACTGCCAAATGGTCAAGAAACGAGGCTTACTTACCCGTGCAGTGGAATAGAAACGGCTCGCAGGGCCTGTCTCGTATGTGCTCCAACACGGCATAGAAGGTTCGCCTGTAGATGTCCAGCACCTTGAGGTACTCCTTCCTCAGCCCCACCTCGCCGCCTCCCTCGACGAAGTCATCTAGAACGGGCGGCAGGTCCACGCTGGCGCTGTCGAACCAGGTGTTTTCGACGCCGTCGATTTGCGGGTCCGGAGCTCTCTCACGTTCTTCAGGTGATCGGATGTCAAAAATGCGCTTCACGCTGGCGGAGAGCCAGGCGAGGGCCCGCGGGTCTGTGGCGGCGAGCTCGAGCGTTCCGCAGCGGTACGCTAGACCAGAGAGGATGGCTGAGCCTGGTACGGCCCCGAGTTCGCGAACGTTGATGAGCGAGGTCGACGGGATGAAAGGCGGCGAGGTTAGGGCTGGGAGGAGATCCTCCGGCGGGATGGGATTGCGGACGTCTGTCTCGGAGAGACGGCCGAGCTGGTCTTTTGTCAGGATCATGATGGTGTCTGTGGCGAGCAGTATTGAGAAAAGGCGACTTCAGCTCACGAGGCTGGTCAGTTTCTCAAGTTCACAGTGCATCTTGAGACTGACGCCTGGCTACATCTTGACCCATGTTACTGTAAGCAGGAGCTCTGCTTACCCCCCCCACACCCTTGAGTAGACCAGCCAGAGTTGAGATGCCTTGGCACGCTGTGGAAGCAAGTACAAAGTAATGTACTCGTCAGAATAGGCTTTTGGACAAGGGAAGCCTCATAACCAAAAAATTGCCGTTTTCCTGTTCGTGGAATGCACGAGACGGTCTCACATCGGTCACTAGCCCAAGCCCAAAGCTGCCAAGGTGAATCTGGGGAAATTAGAGTTAAATCAACCCCAAAAGGTGCTCCTTCCAATACACTTGAAGAAAAATGATCACCACTTGGTTAGGCGAGGGGTTTAGTGGAGAAAGGACGACGTTTGTACGATGAAGAAAAGGATGACAAGGATAGCATACGAATACCAGTCAACACGAACAGCTTCCACGATCCCAGCGCATCTTGAGTTGCGATAAGATAAGATAAGCTTACTTATCAAACGGTCGGCGATAAGAATATCTATCATCTACACTGAATTTCGGGGCCTATCACCCCTCCGAGAGCCAATTGATCCAGTCCACTACGTTGAGTCCATGTCCAACTAATATTGTGGCACGATGACTTCTAATTCGATTGTCAGATGGGGCATGGCGATCTCGGCCGGCGTCGCTGGCGTGGCTCTGGCCGTTGTCCGTCTTCAGCAGCCGATCTTTAGCAACGACACTGAGACGACTTATTGCTACCAAGGCGTTCGAACACACGATGAAGCCCAACCAGCCGCTCAATGCTTCACGGTGTTGGACGGAAAGTTCACTCGCGTCTTTCCTTGGGAAGATGCCAGCTTAACCACGAATGTCGGCTATGTTATCCCCGGCTTGTGGGACGGTCACGGCCATCTAATTCAATACGGAGAGTTTCTTCACTCGGCCGACTTGTTCGGTGCTGGCACCTTGGACGACGTAAGGGGACGTCTGCGAGACTATGTCGAGAACCATCCTGATGCAGGTACGAAGGATGAATGGATCCGAGGAATTGGATGGGACCAGAATGCGTACGGCAAGATGCCTACTGCCGTGAGTCGCTTGTCGTTATGGGCTGAGTGGCTGTACTGATGCGCGATTAGGCGGACATCGAAGAAGACGAATTACTAAAGAGCAAGTACTTCATGCTCGACAGAATCGACGTCCATTGCGCTTGGGTCTCGCAAGCCGTGCTAGATCTCTTGCCAGCAGACATCCCCGACGTCTCAGGGGGCGAGATTGTCAGGGAGCCTGGCATGGGCGTCTTCTGTGACAATGCCATGGACTTGGTCACAAATCTGTGGCCAAAGCCTGGCCCCGAGAAGAAGCGGGCTTTCGTGTCTGCCGCCATGGCGAAGCTGAACGAGGTTGGCTTGGTCGGCATGCACGATGCTGGCGTCTTCCCCGATCAACTTGACTTATATGCAGACATGGCGCAAACAGAGGACTGGACTGTTCGAGTCTACGCCATGTTGGAGTGTGCTCAGCGAAACACGTTTTGCCCGGATGATGCTGCTCGTGTGCTCCGCGAGGACAATTGGTTCAGCGTCAAGTCTGTGAAGCTCTTTGCTGGTAATTCGAGCCCTCGATCGCTGGCTAATGACACGTGCTGACCTAAATAGACGGTGCTCTCGGAAGTTGGGGGAGCGCCATGATCGAGCCCTACAGTGACCGCCCGGACACGTCCGGCTCACTCCTTGTCAACGGGTCTACACTGTTGCAACTCGGCAAATCATGGGCATCTGTCGGCTACCAAGTCAACATTCACGCCATCGGCGACCTTGCAAACCGTTTCGCCGTCGATGCCTTGGAAGCTGGTCTCAAGGAAGCGTGCTCTGGTGACGACCTTTCAAAATGCCAGTCCGAGCGGCGGTTCCGTATCGAGCATTCCCAGATCATCCATGAAGAAGACCAAAAGAGAATTCACGCCATTGGAATCATCCCCTCTATCCAACTAACACACGCGACTTCCGACATGAAGTACGCCGAGCTCCGCCTCGGCCCCGAACGCACCAAGAAGGAAGCTTACCGTATGCGCTCCCTCCTCAACGTCAGCCCTATCCTAGGCAGCGACTTCCCCGTGGAGCCGCCCAACCCGTTCCAGGGCATATACGCTGCCGTCACGCGGAAGAGTCCTCATACAGGCAGCGGTGCGAATGGAAGCTCTGAGGGGTGGCATAGCGAAGAGGCGTTGAGCCTGGAGGAGGCGCTGCTTGGGTTTACCAAGGGACCCGCTTTCGGCGCTTTTATGGATGAACGTGCAGGCGTTATCAAGGAGGGCGCGCTTGCTGACTGGGTCGTTTTGGATCAGCCGCTCGAGTCCATGGATATTGACGACTTGCGGGACCTCAAGGTGAAGGAGACTTGGGTTGGTGGAAAGCAGGTATATGAGCGTGTTGATGTTTGAGCTATGCTGAGTGATGGTATACGATATTATGATTTCCGTGGATTTCGATGTGTAAAGGGCAAGAAGGGACCTACCCAAAAAATCAAGCGTCTTCATCCCACCTTCTCGCGCAGAGAAGGTACATGGCCCTCTTCCTGCCAGAACATATCCACAAAGTTTCGTGTCCTCAAGGCACTTGAACCAGACATGTTCCTTTCCCAATTCATTCCACGACGTCCACCTCGCTCTCTTTTCTTTGGACGGCATTCCGATACCTTGGAGTACTGCATTTCCGTCAAGCCCGCCTGAAATAGCACCATCGACCATAGTTTCGAGAAAGTCAGTCGCCAAAATGCCTGGCGACAGAACCCAACATCTTGTCGCAATAATGATCGCAGTCTTCTACTTCAAATTTGGCCAGACCCTCATCGACAAACCAATCGAGATTCTCTTTCGGGAGATCACATGCAATAGCTACTACAACAATCCATCCACGAACCTGATCCGCGCCTTCCCATACGACGACCCATTGTGCCAGATCGAAGAGATTGAAAACATTATCGAAAGAGGCAACGCGATTAGTTTGGTCTTTGAAGCTATTGGTGGTAAGTGATTTCCATTTACCTAAGGTCTGCGTTGTCACTTGCCAAACATGATATCTAACGCAAGAGGACAGGCCTTCTCGCAGCGTACGTCGTTTTACGTGCCAACTTCCGCGAAAGACTCGTTATCTTCGGCTCGCTCACATGGATCATCGGCAAGCTTTTGATCTACCACAAAACGCATGATAGATGGCACATGTTGCTCTACTGGGTTTTGTCTAGCTTGGTCGGCGGCGGGCGAGTCGTTGTTGAGGGAGCCATATTGGGCATGTTGACTGATCTATCGGACGAGCAAAATCGGTAAGTGCGAGACTCGCTGGCTCCTTCTCGTCCTCGAAGACGATATCCAGACCTTCAGATCTGAAGAGTTGCTAATCATATCCCTCTACAGAGCTAGGAATCTTTCCTACACGTTCGTCGTGGCTTTGCTCTCGTACGTTGCAGCAAATCTCACCTTTAAACCCCTCGTTGAGTACAGTGTCGACGCGTCTTATATTGCAGCCATGACCGGCATTACCCTTGGCGTCACGACGATCGCTATGTTCAGACTGCTCTATTTCAAGACGTACTGCAAACAGGCCGAAGATTACCGCTCGGAGGAAGAGGCCAACCCGGACCGCCGCCCGCCGCGGGTGCAAGTCTTTTCCAGCTTGGCTCGTTTCCCAAGCTGCTGTTTGCTCTTCATCGTTGCCGTTCTACCGCCCATGGCATCATTGTCGATGCCGTCACTCGCATACTGGATTTCCAGAGTGTTCCCTGTCTACGAAAACTTTCTCGACCTTCCCACCCCACTATACGCATTTCCCACCGCCGCCGTCGTGGTGACCGGCACCATGATCCCATTACTGGAGAACAGCCGCGCCCGCCGCCACAGCACAAATCCCCAGCGTCGGACCTTTCCACTGCTCGTGCCCTCGTTTCTGTCCATCTCGATAGGCACTCTGCTCCTAGTATCGAGCAAAGACGGCAACCACAAGCTCCTCATCGGGGGGTTCGTCTTCATGGGCCTCGGCGGGGGTGCGGTACCTCTGACCCTGGCTATGCTCGTGTCTCATCTCGGCCGACGACTTCGATGCCGCTATGTGGGAAGAGCGATTGGTGCGATATATACGCTGCAGTGCATCGTGAGGTTGGTGCTGGGGCCTATGCTCTATGCGCTGAGGAAGCCGGGTCGCCCGGCGATGGCTCAGTTGTTCCCTCAACTCATTATCCTACTTGCGGTCTATGCTGCTTTCTACTCGGCGCTAAGGTGGTCGCTCAAGAATTCGGCGTCCACAGTACAGAGTAGCGAGCGGAATATCGAGCTAGATGAGATGCGTCGAGAGGCGGCCCTGCATGCCGCGCCGAGTGCGCCGCCTCCTGCATATTCCCCACTGACGCGGGAGAACGGTCGAATTTGAAGTTGATGGCGAGATTTAGCATTCTGTGGTGTGGTTCACTGGGCGGTTTGATCAAGTCATTGGGCAGTGCCGGCAAACGGATTTTTGCATAAGGATCGGTCATCACATTGTCTCGGGCGCAAATGGATGCATAGGGTTCCGTTTAACTGTAGCTTACTTGCAACCGTCTACAATTGCTATAGAGGCGCTCTTTCTCAGGATTAGTAAAAAACAATAGTTCAACAGTGCCTGGCCATCAAGCTGCTCCGGAGACACGCCTTCCTGGTCAGTACATATACCTGGCGCTTTTCCAATTAATACTCTCTTTTCTCATTCATCGTCTACCCTCTTAGAATCTGGGGATAATGGCGTCTGGCTTGTTGTCGAGAGCCTCGTCAATCTCCTTCATGATCTCTGGCGTAAGCTTCTCCTGGGCGCCAATGGCGTACATGTTCTCAAAGACCTGCTCAGGGCTGCTGGCGCCAATGATGGCGGAGCTGACGTTCTTGTTCTTGAGGACCCAGGCGAGGGCGAGGGTGCTCATCTTGATGCCGAGCTTCTCGGCGATGGGCTCGATCTTGTTGGCCTTGTCGACGAGGTCCTGGAACTGCTTCTTTGCGTTCTCGCGCTTCCAGAAGTCCTTGATGAAGCCAATGTTCTCGGAGCCGAAGCGCGAGTTCTCGGGGATGCCGTTCTTGTACTTGCCGGAGAGGATGCCCTGGCGCAGCGGGGAGAAGACGGTCAGGCCGGTGCCGACCTCGCGGTAGAGGTGGGCGAACTCGTGCTCAACCTTCTTGCGGTCGAGCATGCTGTAGGAGGGCTGCTCCATGACGGGGCCGACGAGGTTGAGCTTGTCGGCGTAGCGCCAGGCCTGGGCGATCTCGTCGGCACTCCACTCTGAGGTTCCCCAGTACAGGGCCTTGCCGGTGTTGATGAGGTGGTTGAAGGCACGGACGGTCTCCTCCATGGGGGTCTGACGATCGGGGCTGTGACGAGGCCATCAGAAGGAGCCGTGGCGAAGAGGGAAGGGTTTGCTTACCGGTGAGCGTAGACGAGGTCGACGTACTTGAGGTCGAGACGCTCAAGGCAGGCGTCCATGGCCTCGATGACGTGCTTGCGGGACAGGCCCTTGTTGTTGACGACGTTGTCGCCGAAAGCTCCGCCCCAGTAGATCTGCCAATAACCCCTTGTCAGCCTTTGCATCTTTCACCAAGACCGATTCACTCTAGGAAGATCGCGCACCTTGGTGGAGATGACGAGGTCGTTGCGCTTCCAGCCGTACTTCTTGATGGCCTGGCCCATCACTATGACTGAAGTCAGTCCCTTATCGCGCCGTCTGTATGTATGGGAGGATATCCATACCAATCTCGCTCTCGCCGTTAGCGTAGCCCTCGGCGCTGTCGAAAAAGTTGACGCCGGAGTCGTAGGCGGCCTTCATGCAGGCAAAGGTGCCCTCTATTTGTTGTGAGTGATCAATCGCAAGGAGGAGGTTGGGGGTGAGGTCATACCAGCGTCGACATGGCCACCGTAGGTCAACCCTTACGAGCAGTCAGTCTGCGTTGTGATTGTACGGCGTCTCGGTGAAACTCACAGCCTCCCAAGCTGATGGCGCTGACCTGAAGACCGGAACGGCCCAGGAAGCGGTACTCCATAGGGGGAAGGTCCTCGGGCCTGGACATGTTTGCGGTTCTGGATGTTTTCTTGGGAGATAACGAGGTGGAGCGAGGTCGGAGGGGAGATGCGGACTTGGAGGGGGAGAGGACAGCAGCAGGCGTCACGCAATGGGTCGAGGGACCTTACTTATAGTCTCCCCAATTTGAAAAAGGACCGGCTCGTGTTCAAAGAAGGAAGCTCCAACCAGAAGAGCTCCATCCCATGTCCAGTCCCGGTCCTGTGCCGGGTGGTGTAGGAGCCGTATCGATGCGGTCAAGCTCCCAGGATGCGGGGCAGCCGGTATCAACCCCGCCATGGGAAAGCGGCAACTCGTGTCACTGATTTGTTCAGGCGCTGTGGTGGGTGGTTGGCCGGGTACTATGAGTTACGGAGGCCTGGTCTACAGTAGTGGGGATGAATACAGCAGACTTACGCCAGTTTCATGCTGCCTTCCTTGCTCGTCCCTGTGTGCCTGTGGGGAGAGCTATGACCGGCGGGAAGCTTAATCCCGAGCTCTAGAATTTGCGACGGGACGAGCGCACACAACCTTTGGCTGGCTTCTTAAGCTTCCGAGGCAATTCCAACTTCCTCTCATCGGGAAGATGACCGCTTAACTCGCAGACTGAAGATTTCAACTCGCAACCGAAATTTATCACAGACATAGCCCCAGGAGAGAAAAAAACTGTTGATGTCACCATCTCCAAGGGACTTTAGCGAGAGCCACGCTAAAATTACCCCTCCATCTGCCCCTCCAAGCGCGACCGTTTGTGTCGAGCTGCGACCCGCAACCACGCTCGCACCACTAACATCCCTGTCATCATGCGGGTCCTCCGCCAGGGGTGTGCTACCATCTCGCTGCTCCGATTCCCCCGAGTTGGCGAATGGTGCGGCTTACTAATTCACCAACGACACATCTTCCATCAAGGTGACGAGACGGCGGGGGGAGGAATCGGACTATCATCGTATCGCTGTTGGTTCGATTTGAACCGACCATCGGCATGAACAAGATGCTGATATCTATTGGACCGGCTTGCTGGTCGGCTTCCGTGTCTGAGAAGCTAGTCCGACCCGAATATGCAAGACACAAGCGAGCCTTTTTCCCGAGCCGCCCTGTCGGGTTCTGCTAGCACACGCGGCTTTGATGCCTCTACATGCAGGTCTCAAATTAACCAAGTCGGCAGGGAGTCATACGGTGGGAGGTCTCCGCTGGCCTCTCTCTATTGAGATATACGACGTTACTACGCAGATAGCTTCCCCAAGTCCGTTCCATCGATTTTCGTCCTACAAACTCGTGGCGTGGAGACTAATAGATAACAGACTCACAGTTTTCAATGAACCCTATCCGGGATCCTCGTGAACTTTCCGCATGCTCATGGCAGCTTTTCCGTAACATGGGCGGAAGGAAGGAAACCCGCATCTGCCTTACATTAGTCAGGTCGGCATATGCCATGAGCCGGTCTTCACTACCTGACGGTTGAAATATCCCCTTCTAGCCCCTGGTGAAACTGTCGTAGTACGTCCTATGGAAGAACGTATGCAAAGCGGGTACTCGCTATGAGCCGTCTGCTTGCAAGCTGCCTGAAATTCAACGCAATTCCAGGTTATGAGAGCTTCGTGTGGCCTATTGATGCATATCTCGAATTTGAATCTTTTGTTGTGTCAATCCGAAGTTTGGTAAGCATGTCCTTCGCGTCTCCTGGGAACGGGTCAGACCACAGATGCTGAAGTAAAAGTCCTGCACAAATACACTGATACTTGAATACTCAAGTAAAGACCCAGAAATCCTGATTGGAGCTCCGAAAGATATCAGTCAGGATTTGGCTGACCACATCTAGGACATGCATCTTCAGCATCACAACAAAGAAACATCTTAAACCACACCACAAAGAGTGCAGTTTGTTATCAAAATGAAGGCAGGGGGCTCATTTCATATTTACCTCGTTTGCAGCGGCATTCACGCTCTAGAACTCTTCAAAAGCCAAAGTCGGTGTGGCCCTCCAGTCAGTGTCGTGCCCCGCATGGGTCTCCAATGGCCTTGTCCTGATATCGCGGGTCTCAAGACATCGACAGCTTCAAACAGGAGCGCCAGCGAGGCAGCGAGGCCAACTCCCTCGACGACTAAGCAGGCACTGGATCTTCCCATCCTGAAATAAAACTCTTGCCCTTCTCGAATTTGAAATCTCTTCCTCTTCTCCTCACAACAACACCATCGCAGGTCAACCTTACCACAACACGACCTTCGACACCACCATTTGGGATCCGTGAGATATCAACGCGCAACAGGACAATCAGCAGAGATCAGTACGAACAAGCAATCCAGTAAGCCATTCTTCCTCTCCTCTCTATCATGCGGCATCTTTCCTGTCGACCTTTACAAATTTCAATCGCCACGCACCCCAATCGTCGAAAAAAACAAGCTCCGCGATCCTTTACGGAATTCCCTCAATTTCAGCAGCCCGAAGCTGTTGTTTGCGAATTTTTCTTCTCGTTTTTTCTATCAGCCATTCGTGTGCGTTTGAAGAGAAATGTCCGCTTTGGCGGTGTTCATGACGGCGGGGTCGGCTGCGGCGATTGCCTCAGACGATGATCACACGTCCGTCTCGACTTATCTCGGTTCGGACTGTGATCATCCTGAGCTGAGAGCCGCCTACGCCGAGGTTCAAGAGAATTTTCGATCTTCTTTGGCCTTGGGATATCTTAGACAATCGCGTCAAGAGCCTCAAAGTCAAGATCATCCAGACGAAGGTTCCAAATTTACACCGTTTTTCTCTCCTTCCCACCTTCATTCCTTCCCGCAAGACTGCCAGTGCAGTTGCTCCTTCCCTCACATGCCCTCCTGCCTTCACAAAATTTCGTCTACTTCCTTCTGCTTCTGACACTTCCCTCCGCTTCTTTCCTCAAGAAAATTCTTCCCTCCTCACCACCTTGTTTTTTCAACTCTCTTCCTTCGCATCCTCAACTGCCGGCCAGCCTCACTGACTTGTCGCAATCAGTCTCGGCTACTTCTGTCAACCAAGTTGACAATCACTCACCCGACCAATTCTCCGACTACTCCTTCATCGACGACAATATGTCTGGCTGGGGTACTGACGACGCCTCTGGAGGTGCTGGAGGTGGTGGCGACCCCTGGAACAACCCCTCTGGAGGCGATGGCGACGAGGGCGGCGGCGGCCAGCGCGGCGCCTGCTTCAACTGCGGTCAGGATGGGTAAGTCACGTCTTCTTCACAACATCACGGTCTACTGACATTATCCCCAGCCACAACAAGGCCGATTGCCCCGAGCCTGCCAAGCCTTTCGATGGCGAGTGCAAGGGCTGCGGTCAGCAGGGCCACATGCGTCGTGACTGCCCTGACGCTCCCCCCATGGCTTGCAGAAGCTGCGGCGAGGAGGGCCACATCCGCAAGGACTGCCCCAACAAGCCTCCCGATCTTTGCCGCAACTGCCACGAGGAGGGTAAGTGCCTTTCGTTCCCCCATTGCAAAATACGATGTCTTTACTGACTCCTGCAGGTCACCTCGTCGTCAACTGCGAGAACCCTCGAAAGATTGACCTCAGTAAGATCGAGGATGTCGACGCTGATGTGGCCTGGAACCAGATCATTGAAGCAGCTGACGAGCGCGATGGTGTTGAGGCCAAGGAGGCCATCCAGAAGTACCTCAAGCATTTCCCTGATATGACTTATGTCATCCTTGAGGAGGCTTTCCGTGGCCAGGAGATGGGCATCTACCTCATCGCTACCGAGCGTGCTCTTGCTCCCACTCACACTAACATGGACCTTCAGGGCAACCTGGGCAAGAAGTTCACTGTCCAGTACCGCTTCTCTTCGCAGCCCGACCGTGCCCGTGAGAAGGCCGGATGGCCTGCTTCTGCCGAGGAGAACATGGCGCGTCTCGCCGATGCTGGTGAGCCAGTCTCACGCCTCATGCAGAAGTGCAACAACTGCGATGAGCTCGGCCACACCGCCAAGGCTTGCCCCCAGGACCCCAACGAAAAGGTCCGCGTCACTATCACTTGCTACAACTGTGGCGAGGAGGGTCACCGCGTCCGCGACTGTAAGTTCATTCAATGTCTACATTAATCATCCCTCACTGACAAATTTCCTAGGCCCTACCCCTCGTGTCGACAAGTTCGCTTGCAAGAACTGCGGTCAATCTGGCCACAAGGTCTCCGAGTGCACTGAGCCTCGCAATGCTGAGGGCGTCGAGTGCAACAAGTGCAATGAGAGTATGTTATTTATTCTTATCACTATTCAACTTCAACAGCTAATCTTCCACAGTGGGCCACTTTGGACGTGACTGTCCCACCGCCGGTGGTGGTGGTCGCTCTTGCCACAACTGCGGTCAGGAAGGCCACATCTCCAAGGAGTGCACCGAGCCTCGCAAGCTCAAGTGCCGCAACTGTGATGAGGAGGGTCACCACTCCCGTGATTGCGACAAGCCTCAGGATGGTATGTGAATCTTCCCTCATGGTTTCGTTACATTGACTGATTTCGTCTCCAACAGTCACCCGCATCAAGTGCATGAACTGCGGCGAGATGGGTCACAAGAAGTACAAGTGCCCTAACCCCCCTGTCGAGGACGTTGACGGCTTCGGCGATGGTGGTGGTGGGGGTGGTGACTTCGGCGCCCCCAACGACACTGGCGCTGATGCCTGGGGCAGTGGTGACAACACCGCCCCCCAGGACACTGGCGGCTGGTAGATGCTTCCCTTTCGGTACACGCATCCTGATATGATACGCTTGGTGACTCTCTGATTGGCTTTGAGGTCACATTCTCCGTCGCTGCCTCGGCAGACGACAAGGCTTTCGAGAAAACGGTTGATAGTTCGTCAGAATCATGACACATGGCTGGTGGGGTCTCTTAATAGATAGATCGACACTGATAGAATGCAAAGTCATGACACAATTCTGGGTTTTGATTGTTTTGGCTGTGACTATAGCTGGACTGTGGCTCACCATGGGTTTGAAGCCCTTCTACGCTGTTCTTGATAGTTGATGATACCACGCCTCGCGCAAACCATCTCAGCACCTGAACAAGTCTTATTGCAAGACTCCAGTCTTCCCTTTCCCAGGAAAGCTCAGCGTAATGTGATATTGATGGAATATCCTCCAGCCCGGTTCACTTGATGATAAGAATTAGCTCCAGGGATTGCCACAGAGCCTGCCTTTTGCGCCGTAGTTTGGTATTCAGGAGACGAAGCATCTCACATGGGATCAAGAGTTGGTACAATGACAGTTCGACAATACTATCGTCAACGCAATTAAGATATGCAGATATGTGCCCATAACTAGGGATACCGGACGCAACTGACGGAATTCACGGACGTCGTCTACTAGAGAACATGGTGACTATGGGAGAAGACGGACGAGAACGGGATGGACTGACTGCGCGAAACGTCCTTGCAGTTTGGAATTCATGTTTTCCGATAGGTTGGGCTAGGCTCCCAGCGAGCTCTATGACGCTTCAGATTCAATCGTTGCGCTGAAGACGCTGCGTGGTGGTGGGTGACCTTGCTGGGGACCAGGGAGCAACTCCTAGCTGTTGGAACCAGACTCCTAGCCAGCAGCTCGTTAAATAAAATGCCGTCAAAACCGAAGCCATTGTTCTTGGGCACCAGAAGCATGCCCAAAATTATCATCGTCTGATCATCTGTCCTGTATGCCATTTTGCTGATGCCAGCCCCTTTTTGATCGATCGTCCTAATACACCGGACACTCTGCACATACGATTTCCTGAACCTGGGCGAACACCCACAAGTTCAAAAGCAGCCTCGAATGTGATTCAGACCATTCTCATGGCTATTTTCTCTCATTGTCTTCGTCCGGGTGACTTTTCAATATCAGAAATTATCTTGGTCATCTTCAGAAACGGGAACGATGTGAGACTCGAGTTCGATGGGAGACCCAATACCTTTTCAATACATAAGAGACAGGGAAGACGGCAGGTGAAGGCTTAGTTGCTTCTGGCCAACTGATACGCTACAGAGGTGGCAAGAAGCTCTTACCTGGATGATAACAGTTTGTTAAAGCAATAGAAAAGATGACCCATGGGTGACTTGTTTGGCATTGTGTTAGTCAAAGCTCGTAAGCTGATACAAACCTAACCAATTTCTATTAGTCGCTTTGAGATTTCTTATGTCGTCATCTTGTAGCCATGAAAATAGCTCCGACGGTAGCAGTATAAAACCATCATGGAGATCAAGACCAAGTACTCGGCACACAATCAAACTCGTAGGACCGCGTTTGTCAAAATTGCCTTCGATGTGCCCAGACTACTCAAGAAACTCGTCATATCGCCTGGCATAGTGAGGATCGTGACATGGATGTCGGAGCATTGAAACCATTCCGTCTTCCAGCGTCTGCTCTTCTCATCCCTGCCCAGGTATTCTGCGAACAATCAAGCAGTCAGATCTCGTCTCTGAAGCTGCGTCGTGTCGTTCGCGACATCAATCGAGAGTCACCTATGCTGATGCCATCGACTCTGTCTTGTTCCTTATGAGACTGCCTACCTCCAAGAGAATCTCATTACATACCTCAAAATGGACAATCACGATGGCTACTACATCGTCTACCTCTTGGAATACCCAACGTTGATACCCAAACCAAGACAAAGATGACAAGCGGCGGTAGGCACCCAAAGGCGGCTTACATCTCCTCCCTGGGGTGGAAGATGACATGAGGCTCGGGCACCGACTGCTTCCCACATTATCAACTAAACCAAGATGCCTTCAAAGCCCATCATCCTCTGCGTCCTGAGTGAGACACTTACTTCGGAGAAGGCCTCTTATATCAATCTCTTGTCCACCCACATCGTCATCCCGCGATCTCTGCTTTAAAACAGTGCTGCCCATCGTTCAAAATGAAAGTAGGAGTACAAATTGACTTTCACAAACTGAGAATGTTAGGAATGCTAGGTTGGCCTCCACCCTTAAGACCAGAGAGCCGACACCAATCATACGCATCATATGCTAAACACACACATCCACACCTACACATGGTCCTTGTTCATCGTCTCTCATCCCTCCGCATCCCCTTCTCATTCGCCTGAGATTTACCTCTTGACGCTCGACAAACCTAAACAGCAAGCAGAAAAGCCCCCTCCCCTTCTCTCTGCCACGTCCCTCAAGTGTCTTCCTGGATACCTTGTCATTCGCTGATTGTATCACCCAAGCTCCCAACGTCAACTCGTACATATACATATGGCCAGAACCGCAGTCTACCCCAAATCAGAACACCGCGGGACGCTCATCACGTCACGCCATCCGTCTGCTGGCACCTACTTGTTTCTCACTGGGCGGGGAACATACACGGCGTTAAATCACCAAGCAAGAGTTGTGTTACAATTTTCATATGCACGGAATCGTGGGGCACAACGTAAGTAACTGGGATGGTTTTTATTCGTCTTGCCAGCCTTTGTGGCGCCTTAAAATGTGTCCGAACAGGGCTAATTCTCTGTCCGGATCCAAATGTCTGTAAAAAGCCATTTTCCATCCCCATGCCATTATTCAAAAATAGAAAACGATGCAAATAGCCATCTGCAAATCCTTGGTCAAGGTCGCAAAAGAAGAGAAACATGATTCTCGCCCGTCTGGTCGGGCAAGGTGGTATCAAAGCATTGATGCAAAAGCAGGCATTCAACGCGAGAGTAGTAGACGTGGTGCTGAGGGCTGCGGCGTTTGTGCCGACGATCCCATCTGGGAGGAAACATGACCGAGGAAACAGGTGGTTTTTCAAACGATAGTTCAACAGGAAAGAGCAGGGGGTACATGGTTTGTTCATAGGCGACGGAGAGATCATGAGGTTCGTTCATGTCGTGGCCCCGCGAGGGCGATGCTTGGGCAACTAGGCCAAGCTCGACTTCTTGCGCCGACCAAACATCTTGGAGAAGCCACTGCCACTGCTTTGCTGCTCAGCAGGAGGGCTGAAGCGGGCTGGCTGCGCCTGTGGTGGGGGCTCGGCATTGCGGAGGAATGAAGCCAGGTCGGTGGTGCGGCTCGTAGAAGAGACGGCCTCCCTTGGTTCGAACTTCTTCATTGGCACGCGTCCGGCAGAGGAATGCATGGCAGGCCGGTTTGCAGTGGCGTCACCAGCGCCATACTTGTCTTGGCCGGAAGACATGTTAACCTGAATCGGAACATGGCCGTTTCCGGCAGCTCCAGCACGGCTATTCAGCGAACGGCTGTCAACCTTGGGTGGCTTCGCAGTCGATCCAGCGTTGCTGTCCTTCCTTGAAAATCGCCCGATAAGGCTGGGAGCGCTGGCCTTTCGCTTGATGTTCTGTGGGATTACAGGAGCGGCGGGCTCAGGTGGTGGCTGATAGTTTTTGAGGAAGTCCGCCAAGCTTTCCTCCTTCTTGGGAGGAGGTCGAACAGCTTGGGCGTAATCTTCCTCGTCTTCGTCGCTCAAGTCAATAGCGTAGGGGTCACGCACGCGTCGTCTGGTGCGCTTCGGCATCATGTCGTCTTCATCGAAGGTGTTGGCGCTGGGGCGGTTCTTCAGGAGCGCACTTTGCGAGTTGATCGACGATTGAACAGAGGGCATCGTGATGTCCGTCACGTTGGTCGATGCCTGGCTGTACCGAATGTCTGGCAGGCTGGCGTCAACAGCTTTACCGCCAACGGCACCTGACATCTGGTCAGAATCCATAGTGGTGCGAAACGGAGCAACAGTGCGTGGAATACGAGGATTGTTAGCGCTGGGAGGTCCTCGCCGAATGAAATCGATGAGGTCGGAATTGTCTTCTCGATTGTCGACGGCAGCGTCGCGTGCCTGAAGGCGGGGTCGGTTGGTCGATGACGAGATGCGTCTCGAGTCAAGGCTGTGCTTCACAGGCGGCGGCGGGCCGCTGATGTTGCGTAGCGGTGCAGGTCCGTTGTCAGCAGTCGGGCCGGTCGACCGAATGAAGTCTGCGAAATCGTTCATGGACGTATCGCGAGGGATTCGAGCATCTCGAGCCATTGGGCCGTTCGTTCTCGATCTGGTCAATGTGGTGCTTGGAGGTGCTTTGGGGACAAAGCCTTTGGGTTTGGACTCGACAGGATGAGAGTTTAAACCTGTTGCACGACTGACGGACATAGTTCTTCTGATGTCAGCGCCGGAAACGGATCTGTTCCGTTCACCACCCATTGCCGTCCGAGCATCCTCGCTTCGTCTCGACTTAGCACCCACGGCAGGGCTTGCAGTGCGCGCCCGATTGTTCTGATTGGCTGTTAGTAACGTGATTGAAGTATAGGGAAGGCTTAAACTCACGTCCATATCACGCATGCTTTCCGGAGTAAGCGTGAATTGAATCGTTTGATCGCTCTGGATAAGTTCCTCGAAGTTCCGCGCCAGATTGTCGGCGCGACCCGAGGCCTTGCTGTCTTCGGATGTTCGGACCGCTCTAATCTTGCCAGTGCTTGAAGAGCCCGATGAACCAGATGTGCGAAGTTGTCTAGGGCGTTCGGGGGAATCACGCCCAGCAGTTCGCTCCACCGAGACAACACCAATGCTTGCCGCCGGCGAGTGTGTGCCTTTGCGACCGGTACCGCGGTCGGGAAGAGTTGGCGTGGCCTGGGATCGGTTGCGCGGCGAAGGCACGCGCTCCTCGACGAAGGGGCCAGTGGTGCTCGTGTTGCTGATGATGGTAACCTTGGTCGCCGATTGGCTGTGTTGGTGACGAGGGGGCTGCTGTTTGGCCGGGTTGAAGATTGCCTGTGAAG